AAGCATTAAGACCTAGAGGAAAGATGTATGTTTCATCAGTGCTCTACTGCACCCTGGCTGGCTCGTCTCCTTGCCACGACGCTTCTGTAAGGGGGTGTCAAGACTGTAAATCTTTATGAGTGCAGACAGCCTTTCTCCTGTGGAACAGTTGGTGGATTTGAACCTCTGACCTTGTCAGAGCTAGTAGCCCAAGACTTTAAATAATAGCACCACCAATAGGTATAGAAATTGTTAACTAATATGTATAAAAACATATGTATAGAAATTGTTTAATGTGGAATTAACTTATACAAACTTTTACCAAAAATACAAAAAGTACGTTTTAAAAAAGACATAGTTTTCCAGTAATAGCTCTTCAGTGAGAAAACTTTCTCATTTCACATCATATTTGAAACCATATCATATTTATTTTGGGCGACCTGGATATACTGCTACAACATGATAATCTGGCCACACGGTTCTTGGCCTAATTGCCTGTGTGCCAGGATCAGGTACCCAGGCGGGGGCCCAGAACAGAGCTCAGGCTTATGTGCCAGCTGCTAAATGCTACATCTCCAATAATATGGAGATAAGGCCCTGGGACTAAAGTGGGCTCCAGTCAGGAAAGCCAGCCCATGGCCACTGGACCTGCTGAGGTTAAGCAGGTCCACACTGGTAGGAAGAGTCTTGTCCACAGGGTCTTGCTGAAGAACAAATTATCTGTTCCTTCAATTATGGGCAAGAGAAAGAATAGAGTATTTGCTGAGTCTGATGAGTCATTAGAAAATACAGCAAAAACTCAGTGCCCATGAGTCGATTCTGACTCATAGTGACCCTACAGGACAGGTACAACTGCCCCATGGGTTTCCACGGTGGAAAGTCTTAATGGGAGCAGGAAGCTTCATTTCCCCCTGAAATATAGCATACTTGCTATGAAACTTTCTTCTAAGATTTGAAGCTATCTATGTACAACATATTACACTTCACAAAATTATTCCTGGTTCTTAGAGCTTCATATGTTCTTTGCGTGTGAAAACATAAAATACCTGGCTTAAATTTATTTTTCATACATATTTGCAAAATCCCACCAGACTATATGCTCAAGATACATGTACTTTTGGTATTTTTAATACCTTAGGGGAAAAGAGAGAATATTTGTACATAATATAATGAACACCCACATAACATACTCAGCGTAAACAAAAATGACCAGTTCCCCCGTTATGCTAGGTCAAGCTCTAGCTAGTCTTGCTAACTCTTTACTATGAGTTTACGGATGAGGAACCAGTCTAAGATGCCGACGTCACACATCATTGGGATATAGTTAGCTGCCTCATTATATTACTTTATAAGTTACAGTTTAAATTAAATTACTTTATAATTTACATAGTGCTTTTACATATATAGGAGCCCTGGTGGTGTAGTGGTTGTACTTTCAGTTGCTAAGCAAGCACAAGCCAGCAGTTCAAAACCTCCACTGGCTATGTGGAAAGAGAGGAGGGATTCTACTCCTATAAAGAGTTACAATCTCAAAAACCCACAAGGGCAGTTCTACCCTGTCCTATAGGGTCACTTTGAGTAGGAACTGACTCAGTGGTTATGAGGTTGGTTTGGTTCACATATATTATTTCTTTGCTTCTTATAATAAGCAATTGAAGTAGGATCTGTTTTATTCCCATTTATGTAGACAAGAAACCCTCAAACGAAGCAAAAACCCGAGGCTCAGTGACTATTAATGGATTTCCCCAACCATTTGGTCAAGACCCTTCAATGGTTCTAAGAGGGCACCATCTGTCCCAGTTTTATAAATGGGGGCCCCAGGGAAAACTATGTACCTTGCTCAGGGTCACAGTGCTCACTGAGCCCAGTGTCATGGCTGGACCACTTCACCATTCTGATGAAGGCATGGGATTTAAGTGTAATGGCAAATGTCAGTTCTCACCAAAACCTAACTTTCTCCCATATTTATTATCGTACTCTAACACCTATGCTGATACCCACCTTTTTCTTTTTTAAATCGTTTTATTAGGGGCTTGTACAACTCTTTTCACAACCCATACATACATCACTTATGTAAAGCACATTTGTACATTCATTGCCCTCATCATTCTCAAAACATCCGCTCTCCACCCAAACCCCTGGCATCAGATACCCACCTTCTAAAAAGACCTTCGGGCTTCCAGACACCTCCTTCATCTTTCACTTTCATGTAAGTGCCAAAGAGCATGCAGTACACTGTTGCAGCAATTCCAAAGTAATCAATCTGTAAAGAAAACACAGGATTTCAGTGATAATGGCACAAATGTTTATTAAAGTGTCACTCTAACTTAGTGGTTGTCAATCTGTGGGTCGTGACCCCTTTGGGGGTCAAATGACCCTTTCACAGGGGCCGAGTGATTCATAAAGTAGCAACGAAAATAATATGGTTGGGGGTCACCACAACATGAGGAACTGTATTAAAGGGTAGCAGCATTAGGAAGGTTGAGAACCACTGCTCTATCTTAAGGCAACAAGCTAAATAATCCTAGATTTCACTCATTTTTGTTTTGAATGTTTGTTTTTTGAAGTGATTTGAGTGAAAGTGTACAGAACAATTCATTTTACATTCAACAACGTACACACTTTTTGTTTGTGACATTAATTGCAATGTCCTCAATGTTAACATCACTTTTGGGTTCCCTGTTCCAACTTGCCCATCTTTCCTCTTGCCCTGCCTTTTGAACTTTATTTGTGGGCGAATATTGCCCATGTGGTTTGGTATGGCTGACTACTCTGAGGAACACATTCCTCTTGAGTATTACTGTTCACTTTGCAGGCCTCTTGTTTGGCTACCAGGAGTGAGTTCTGTTTGTGGCTATAGTCTTGGAGTCCCCACCTGTCTCTGTCAGACCTGCAAGTCTGGTCATTTTATGATTTTGAATTTTGTCCTATACTGTGCACGGCCTTGTATTGTGATCCTCATCGGAGAGAGTGGTAATGGTAACTGGGTACCATTTCGTTCTTCTGGTTTCAGGCTAGTGGAGGCTTTGGTTGTGGAGGGTAGGTATTTTTGTTTTAAACAAAAATATCACTGTCTTAATAAAGGAAAATCTCTAACAGATTAAGTGAGGAAGGAATGCTCTTCAGGAATCTAATCTTACTCTAAGTGCCATCAGCCTTACTTACAGTTCTATCATTCCTTTAACTGCTGCTCAAGACACCAGCGCAAAATAACTAGAGCCTCAGATTTATTGCGAAATGTAAGAAGTATAGTAAAAGAATTTTTTAGATCCCCAAATCTCTCATTTTAGTGCTATACCTGGTAGGTCCATTGCTTCTGACTGAGCATCTCAATACACTGAAATCCAGATGTTTCACACTTTGCTGTAAATGTAGTTCCTTTTGGGAAAAGTTTCATATCTATGCTCTGACCCAGGTCAATCAATGCCAAGCCCGTAGATAAATCATCATCGTCACCGTCATGCTCTAAAAATCTGTATTGAACACAAACACGTGTTGGGCTGCATGAGAACACAGGAAAAAAAGGCTACTCGAGAATGTTCAGTCAGGAACTTGCTACATGATAGTACTTACTTGTTTCCAAGTATGAAATTGTCTGGCTTAATGTCCCCATGAATGATCTCGCAGTCGTGGACTTGCTCGATCATGTGGAGCATTCTGATAGCAAAAGAGATGACCAGAGCTTGAGGCATCACCTTTTCAGGGGTATTTTTATAGAGGTTAATGGCATTCTGCAAACAATGGAAAATGGAATACTTACTTGGTTTTATAGGATTAATAACATTTCAACTCGTTTTACTTCTATCTATATTAAAAGCTCTAATTATAGAAGGTATAAAAATGTACTTTAGATTTATGGCCACATCCTAAAAGTGAATATACTTACTAATAATGTCCCATAGCTGTAGAGCTCTCCTACTAGTACACTGCCATTCTGGAAAAAGTGAGCAGAGTAGAATTTCATAAACATATGTTGCATACTTGGCTTTAGTCTCTCCATCAGCTGGGTTCCAATGTAGAATTCCCAGGGGTTGGCAGGCTTCTGGATCTGCAAATCAGGTATGTGACATTCATGTCTAATGTCTAGTCTCACATTCTGGGCAATGATAATAAGAAAGCAGTCCCCATCCCAACAGCGAAGTGGGGTAGAGAGTGATGACAACCTATGAACTGCTGCACAGTAAAATGATTACAAAATACATGTAAAAAAAAAAAGATTTGCTTCAAGGTGATTTTATTAGCAGGATAATTCTGGATCATTGTAGGGTAATTTTTAAAAAATTGTTGACTATTGATCTAAATGTCATCACTGTTTAATAAAGAAGAAAAAGCTGACAAACTCAAGTTTGCCACACTATACACAAAATTCCTTAGTACATTTACCTTTAAAACAAATTTCTGCTTATGTTTGGCATCATTCACATCTTCTTGCGTAGCTTCATATACTTGGGCAAAGGCTCCTTCTCCAAGAAGATGATCAACATAAATCACAACGGAACCTTGGAAAAACATGTCAAAATGACAAAAGGGCTCAAGATATTAAAGACAAAGTATTCTTGGTGGCTAAATTTTATTAAATAAATTTATTTAATATGGCTACAAAATGTTTTACCAGAAATAGATGAAATTTAAGTATGTTCCCCCAAAATAGCCATCCCACCCTCTAGGCTCCCATTATCAAATTATCTGTGATGGGAGAGAAAGCATAGGATTGGTTGGCCTCAGGGTTACCACTCACTCACTACTAAACAATTTTCTTGCAGGGTAAAGTGGGTACTAATTATGCTGCCTGCTTGGCTGGACTATTGGGATGCTGAAAAAACATGTAAAATGCTTTTTAAAAATTGTTAAACAATTGAAAGCATTTTAATTACATCAGCGTAAAAAGGACAAAATATAACTAACAATATTTCTAATGGATGATTTTTTTATTCCAGAGTTTATTTATAAAAGCCACACCCAATTCCCCTTGTGGTTAACTTTGATGTACTCATGGTACACTTGTAACAAATAAGGAACAATGATTGTGTATAGTAATTAAACATATTTTAAATTTCATTTGTTTTACTCTCCTAATGTTCCAGGATACATTAATTTAGTTGCCCTGTCTCCTTAGTCTGTGACAGTATCTCAGACCCCCTTTATTTTCGATGACCTTGACAGTTGTGAGTATTGGTCATATATATTTTATGATGCTGCTCTATTAAATTTTTTCCTTTTAAACCCTTGGTTACCTTGGGGGAGAAAGACTTCAGAGGCGACGTTCTAATAGACTCTTTAGCTAAACATTTTTAACAGAACTCACATGTTTAAAAATCAAATACACATGGGACAATGACAAAAAGTATAAGTGGTAGCAATTGGGAACATCAGAAGTAGAAGATATGAAAGAACAGAAAAAAGTCTTGAGGGACTAATAACAGAATTTTATAAAATTAACAGCAGAGGGCAAGCAACAGATCAGGGAAGTTTAGAGAATAGCAAGTAGGACAAATCTCAGGAAATTACACTTGGGTACATCATATTCAAACTGCAAGAAAGCAAAGGTACAGAAAATCTTAAGAGTCAGAGAGAGAGAGAGAGAGAGAGAGAAAGCATTGTAAGAAAGAACAGAGATCGTCGTCAGTGGATTGATGTTGTTGCTGTTTTGTTGTACAGTGTTGCTTGGTTTTGCTCTGTCTTGTTTTTATGCATGTTGTCTCCGCAGGCCT